AGCTACCCAAGGAAGCTGTTATACCACTGGAAAGCCATGTGGGGAAAACTGAGGCATCCCCGCCAAGAGCCAGTGAGCACAAGGCTGTCCAGGGCCTTCCAGCCCCTCAACTGTCGGCTGAATGCAGCCACTGGGCGGGGGGGGGGGGGCGCGAGTGCCAGGCGTGGGCGCAGAGGGGCCACTGTCCCTGAGAAACGACACGCCCTCTCTTCCAGCGCTGGGTCCCGGGGGCTTGTTAACAGATTGTTGGTACAAGGAGAGCCCGGTACAGCCCATGTCTCCATTACCCCACAGGACGCTGATCCTTCTCCCAATCACTGCTTCCCGCTCAGCAGCCTAGGACGGTGTTTTCTCAACTGTGGGCTGCTCACAGCCCCACGGACTGCCCAGGGCCACGGGGTCGCCCCACTTGGCTGCCCTGCCCACGGTTGTCCTCTCTCTGCCCCACAACAAACAAGCGTGCTGGGCCAAGCGAGAGAAGCCTGCAATCATTCGCACAATTCAAGGGAAATAAACAGGCTCTGGGTGGCCCGTGCCAGGGCTGTGGGGACGGGACTCTGTGGCTGCAGCCCCTTCCTCCAAGTGCTTTGACTGAACCCATGAGCCTGGGACACTCAGAGCCACCAGACAGCCCATGCCCTGGGGCTCCCCATGCTGCCTCACCGGCCGTGTGCACAGTATGCTGGGCAGCCAGAGAAACCCAGCTTGGCCCCAGCTAGAGTGACCCTACCCCAGCCTTCATGCCTCCTCCTCACAGAGTGGTGACAAGGTCCACAGGAAGAGAGACACTGGGACCTTCCCCCATCTCTGCTAGGCCCCAGGGCCCACAGGGAGGGGTGGGCACAGGTGGAGAGGAGGGTATCAGAGGTGCTGGAATCCCGAAAAGCCTGTGGGATGAGGCAGAGAAGTAAAATGCAAAGCATCTGCAGACCATGCCCGCCTCCCTCCAACCTGTGTGTCTACCTCCTCAGCTTAAAAAGGGGAGCAGCCTCGTGTCACCTAGCGCTGGCAGGGACTCCCTCTCAGGCATTCAGGCCTCCAGCAAGCGTCCTAAAATGCAAATGCAGGTAACTGCCAATGCCATGAAGGAGGGTGGAAGGTCACTACAAATACAGGGGCCCAGCCACAGGAAGGTGACACCTAGACTGGGGCCAGGAGGTCCCAGGGCCCTAGCAGTCCCCCACCCAGGCCTTCAGCCCAAACCTCAAATCCTCATCTTCTCCTCAGCCCTGGGCTCTTGTCCCCCAGAGGCCCAAGCCTGGGGGTGAATTCAGGGGAGTGTTAGAGCCCCCAACCCCGTGACTTCCTTTTTAAAACCAACACAGAATGACTCCTTTCCCCAGGTTCTCAGAACATCCGAGGATCAAAGAAGTGCTCTGTCTCCCCTGGAGGACCCAGGTCCCCAAACCCCCGCCTTACCTCTGCATGCTGCCCAGCGGGGACAGCAGCATGCTGGTGGGTCCTAGGAGCTGGCACAGCAGGGCAGGTGGGTTCAGGCTCCCTGCCGGCTCCTGCCCCAGCCACAGGCTGCATGTGGCCCCTTGCAGAGTATGAATTTGATTCCCAGAGAAGCTCACCTGTCAGCTCAGGTGTGAGGCCACACCCTCCCCCCTCACCCCAATGGGAGGGATTAATACTGGGTCAAAGGAAGAACCAGCCCTTCCCTGGGCACAGGTGTGAGCTGGTTTCTTCCTCAGCCTCTCCTCCAGGCTCCCCACCATGCCCCCGTCCACACCTGCTCTCCCTGCCCACCCCAAGGGTCAGTCGGCCTAGGGTGAGCTTGGGAGAAAGCTGTGGGCAGCCTCCAGTGCCTCTGGATCCCAGAACTCAGGAGGTGCAAATACTTGAGTGTGAAGCAAAGACAGTCAACATCTTTGAGGAGGAAATATGAGACCAAGTTCAGAAGCTTTTCTCCCTCTCCTTTTCTTCTGAAAAGTGTGCTTTATGCCAGGAGGAAATTTACTATTTCTTACATCTTGGGCTGAAAAAAAACTTTTCTTTTTTTTTAAAATATATTTTATGGATTTTTTACAGAGAGGAAGGGAGAGGGATAGAGAGTTAGAAACATCAATGAGAGAGAAACATCGACCAGCTGCCTCCTGCACACTCCCTACTGGGGATGTGCCCGCAACCAAGATACATGCCCTTGACCGGAATCGAACCTGGGACCCTTCAGTCCACAGGCCGACGCTCTAGCCACTGAGTCAAACCGGTTAGGGCTGAAAAAATACTTTTCAATGAGGATACCATCATAGGAACTCAACAAAAATACTAGTAGATTTTACTGCATAAAAGCTCATTTCTTTCTTCAGGAAATAGATGAATCTCATTCAAAGACAAACAACAGACAACAGACTGGGGAAATGTTTGCAGCCCTTGACCAGGTGCAAAGTCCATAAAAAAAAAGCTCCGGGCCCATTGAGGGGCTTGGACAGGACAGACAGCCATGTGGAGGAGGCCAGGCTCTGGGGGAAGCGGGAGGGGGGGGGGGCACCACACAGCTGGTGGGACAGGCCACCACGGTGGGGCCTCCTTCTCCACCCTGGCACCCACACACACACAGAGCTCCGGGGCCATGGCTCGGAGGGCAGGGGGTCTGCACCCCAGGACAGTCCTCGAGGGGAAGAGGATGAGGAGAAGCATGAGGCCCTGCCTCCATCCTCAGAGAGGAGCTGGAGCCAAGCACCCGGGCCTCACTTCTGAAATGGGGTGGGAGTTGAAAGGAGAAAATGCGTTTTCCACCAAGGAAAGACAGGCAGTGCGTGGACAGCACCCGCCTGGCCAGGAATCCATGCAGCACAAACCAAAGGAGATTCCACTTGACCAGCAGGTTGGGGTACTGGTGTATTAGCCAGCGAGCCCCACACTCATGCTTCGTGACAAACCACCCAGAACCTCGGAGGCCCAGCGGCAGGAGTGGCCCCTCAAGCTCACGGTCTCCGGAGGTTCTCTTTCGGGTGGGGTTTGCCCTGGCCTGGAGCAGCCACCAGGACACGCTCTTTACATTGAGGATAGTGGGGAGGCCACGTGCGCATCTCATGCCCGGCAGCACCACAGTCCTCCCATCTCACAGGCCAGCGAAGCCACACGGCCAAGCCCGAGGTCCCAGGGAAAGCCGTGAAGCCAGGGTCAGCAATGCTATGGGGCACCTCTCAGGGGAGCGCCAAGTCCTAAGAAGCTGCTGGGTCAGGTGAGAGACAGGGAAGTGCTCACTGATGGGCGGGAGGGGGCCAGGCCCAGGGCACTCTGTGGGTGATGCTCCCCTCCTCCAGTCCCCGCCATGGTGCCCACCTCTCTTGTCTCCTCCCCGAGACAGAAGCCCCAGGGTGCAGGGCACAGGGTTTCCACGGCTTTCTCAGGGCCAGCCCTCCCTGGGCCCGATGCAGGCATCAGCCTACCTCCTCAGGGAGCCCCAGTGGGGCAAATGAGCCAGGGGAAACTGCCGTGGTTATGCTTCGAAAATGCCATTCCTCTGATTCATTGGGGCACACTCAGGGCCCTGGGCTGGGGAAAAGGACAATCATTCTAACAGCCAGACAGACCCAGGGCAGCCAACTGTTCACCCGTTTACAGCTGGGAAGGCGTTCCGGGTGGGGGGGGGGGGGTGCACAAGTGCCACAGGTGGGGACATCTTGGGACCCAAATGCCGAGGCCCCATCTCCACCTGCTGGGGTCTCAGACTTTGTTGATGTTGTTACAATTGTGTACTTTCCTCCAAATTTGTTGTGTGTTTTTGTAACCCCAACCCTAACCCAACGCCTTGGTGTAGACAGTGACCACACATCACAAGGTCAAATTCTCAGGACACTTGGTGAGGGAACCCCAGAGAAAGGGCAGCTGTGTGAACACCTGTGAGAAGCGCCCCAGGGCCCCATCCCGAGGGAACAGGGGAACCCCAGAACCACCAGCCCTCAGGTAGTGCAGGTCCTGGGGTGTTGGCACAGTTGGTGATGGGCTGGGCCCAGGGCGTGGAGCCTGTGGAGAGAGACCACAGCTGCATGCCGGGTCAAGGGCGAGGCCTGGGTGGAGGCCACAGCCTCGCACCTGGTGTCCAAAGCCAAGGGCCCCCAGGAGGACCCTTGGGAGCAGCCAACAGGGGAGAGATGGGGTTAGGGGCTCAGCCTCAGCTGTCGGGAGCTCGGAGGCTGGAGAGGAGGAGGCAGCAGCTAAGGACGCCGAGGCGGGAGGATTTGCGGGTCAGCTGTCAGGTGAGTGAGGACCAAGGACTAACCACAGGGTCAGTGGGGGAAGGGGAGCCGATGAAGGGTGATGGAGACCCAACCAGCAGCTGCTTGGTGCAGTAGGGGCTAGGGCTCCAGGAGAGGAACGGACTTCAAACCTGGCAGGCAGGGAGGGGAGCTGGGTGGCAGGGGTGGGTGGCAGGGACTTGGCCCTCCTTTGTCCTGAGCAAAGGGTGCCCCATGGAGACCATGGCTGGGAAGCAGCCATGTGCAGCCTGATTTGTACCAACGAGAACACACGCCTCTCCTGGCCAGTCCATCTCCTGCCGCCGACCGAGGGAGACTGCACCCAGCAGGCCTGGCTCACTGACTCTGAAGTACCAGCAAGCTGGGTCCTTCACCTGAGCCCCCCTCCTCACTCACACCCCACAGAGTGGGGGCTGGAGGAGGCAGGGAATGGAGGACCAGGAGCCATGCATTCCCCTTCCCGTCCTGCTATCCCCATCAAGAGCCCACCTTGGACCCCCTGAACTCCCCACCTCCCCTCCCCCCCAAACTGGGAAGTCTTATTGGCTGTCAATGCTCCTCCTCTGACCCTCCAAGTCTGGAGGGGGGGAGGATAGGGAGAGGAGGGGACAGGAGGGGGCCCTTGGGTGGCCTGAGACCCCTGCAGAGGTTGGTGGGCTTGGTGATAGAATGGAGGGAGGAGCTTTCTGTGTAGCCCGCACAGAGGTACCATGTGAGGCTGATGTCTCCCTGTGCCTTCGGCCCTGGGGGGAGGGGGTCAACCCTGCATGTAGGGCGGAGACAGCCACTCACCTTCGGTGCATCCGGACCTGGGTGTCATACAGAGGAGGGGTCTGGGTGGAGCAGAGCCGTGTTGCCCACCACAGGGGGTCCAGAGGGCCATGTGGATGCAGGCTCCAGGAGATGCTCAGGCCTGGCCTCCCTGGCCTCAGAAACCCTTGGTGGGTGCACAGCCCCACTTCCCTTGCCCAGAGCATTCGACTGTGGTGGGAGGCCCATCGTCCCTGCTTTCCTCCGCCTATACCCTGAGGTCATGGTGCGGATACCAGCTTGGGCAGCTCTCCACCTGGACACTCCCTGCACCCTCCGCATTCCTCTCCCCGTGAAGGTCCGGGGGCTGCCTTGCTCTTCCTTTAAAGGGAACGTTCTCTTTCCACCCAGCCACCCACACCTCAGGAGTTAACACCACTCCGATCCCTTGCAGGTGCTAGGGCCCAGGGACACTCCACTCCAGTTGGGTCCCAGCTCTGGGATCCAGGCAGGAAGAGCTGAGGCCAGAAGCCCAGAGCCCTTGGCTGCCACCCAGCTCAAACAAAGCCCATGACATGGAATTTTTTGAGGTCAGCCACCCAGGTGACCTGGGGAAGGAGAGGGAGGCCCCTGTGACCTGTGGGTCCTGGCTGGAGCCCCCATGAGAGCAGGTCAGAGATGTAGAAGGAACACAGAGAAACCACCATGAGGTCTGGGGGCAGGTGGCGCCCCTGCTGCAAGAGCCAGATCAGAGGACACAGGGTCACCTCCAAGCCCACTCTGCCACCTGCTTCCTGTGCAGGGCTGCCTCCAGCCGCTCACGCTCACACCTCTGTGCCAGGTGTGTGGCCTGGATCCTGTGCAAATGGATGGCTTTTGGGGCAGACCCAAGGCGTGAGGGGAGGCCAGCCAGGCCACTGTTTCCTCCTCCCCTGGGTGGGGGTGGCCAGAGGCAAGGGGCTGGCAGGACCCACAGGTGGGAGGGGCTCCCCCCACAGAATCAGGAGTGCACCCTCCTTGCCAGGGGAGTGAGCACCAGGACTGCCAGCTGGCCACATGCCACAGAGGACCCCTCAGGCAGCAGCCCCTCTGGGCCCTGGCTTTGACTGGAGCACATGAACTGACCCCAAGGCCCGAGTCAGGAGTAGGGCCAGAGCCCAGCCCTCTGCCTCAGACCAGTAAGCTGGTCACCCTCAGACCCACTATGCCCCATCCCCCTCTCAGAGGGCTAATGGCTGCTGCAAACTCCGCCCAGAAACAGGGGCACTTCCTCTGACCTCCAGCCACGTCCCACAGAACACCTATTTACACATGTCTGGACCAGGGCCAGTGGGGAGGGGAGCCAGGAGACAGGCCTTACAGGGCCCGTCCGGGAAGTCCCTTTTTCATGCACCCCTTCACCAGGAGCTGTTCCAGAAACTTCCGTGACTCACTTTTTCCCACCACCATGTGTCCTTAAGGAAGAGCCTGTCCTCCCCTAGGCCCTTGAGTCCCCTAAGTCTGAGTGACCTCCAGCTGAGGATGGTGGATGGTGTACTAGGTGGGGGTGGGGGGGTGAAGCCAGTCCTCATGGGGGTCAGAGAGGAGATGGTGAGGTAGCCTGGGACTGCGTCCACTGTGAGGGTTGTCACCTGTCAGTGGGGTTGAGGTCAGGGGTCAGGCACATTGCCGTTGTGACCTGTCATCCCCCCCCCCCCCATTCCATAGAGCAGCATCCTGATGGCTGTCCTCAGGTGCCCTGCGGGCCACAAGACCCCAAACTCTTCCCCTGAGCCCTCTAGGCCCACGATCATGGGACACCCCGAGTCCTGAGCGACAGGAAGCCTGTCCTCAGAGACTGCTCCCTGCAGACCTGTGTGGGGCTGCCCATCCCCAGCCACATCCCGAGGTTGAGGGGCAGACTCCTTGCCCCCCACACTCCCCCACCCTGCTCCTGGGGCTGAGACCACTGACTCACCCTCTCCATCCCTCACCCTCTGGCTGGGGCTTCCTCACCACTCCCTGGGCCCCTCCAGGCAGATGCCTCTACGGGGGCCCCTCTTACATAACCTCTTCTCACATTGCAGTTTAGAGGTTTTAAAGCAAAAATCATAAGCTTTTCCTCATCCAAACACAATGGCCACCCCTCCACACTTAGGGCACATTCGAGATTATTGAGATTGTCATCAGCAGAAGCCCCACCTGGTGGGAGTGGCTTCCAGCTTCCGGAGGGGAGTTGTCTCTCCACACCCATAGGCTCAGGGTCCAGGTTCAAGGTTCGGGGCTCGGGGACTGGAAGGCAGGTTTTGCTTTGCAGACATTCCTGACTGCTTGGCTTCCCTTCCCTGTGATGCTTTGTGTGCGGTGTGCCCTGGACGGTGCGCTCTGCTTTGATGGGCACTCCACCGGCTTTGGTGACATCCGGGGCCACAGGGAGTTCCCCGAGGGCACATGGGCCCAGTGGGTCTGCAGCGGCGTCCAGCCGTTTAGTCAGACTTTCCAGTTGGTTCCAACAGGATTTTCTGGGTGTGTGAAAATGATAGTGGGGAGGGCACGTATTGAGAACATAGCCACAGTAGTTTCATAATTATCCACCCTACTAAGCATAGATAAGTTTCCTTACAGCCCCGGGGAAACTGGAGGATGAAACAAGGCTGTAAAAAGATAAGATGTCTCTGCCCCGCGGTCAGATTCCTGGTCAAGGCACATGCCTGGGCCCAGGTTTCAGGCTTGATCCGCAGGGGGCGGGGCGGGGGGGCCTGCAGGAGGCAGCTGGCTCCCCCCAACCCGGATCTCTGAATCAGCTTGTCACCTGGTTTGTCTTGTTTTGTTTCTAAAGTGTACATGCACTCAGCCAAAAAAAAGTGCAAGGCATCCAAAAATTACAAAAAATAAATCTCCTACTCCGACAGCCAGGCGCCCTCCCCAAAGTGAGCCCAGCTACAGTCTCAACATACCGGAAGGTTCTGTGTGCAACCAGCTTCCTCAAGCTGATGTTCTCTCTTGGGAGCAGGTGGCTGCCCCCTTCTCCCCCTTCTTGCTGTCCCTCTGTCTCGGGGTCTCAGAGGCACACGTCACCTCCTTTTCTAAAAGGCCAGCCCCCACCTGTCCAGCAACGGATGCCAGGTGCAGACAGTGCTCTGTGCTTCACCTGAGGACAAGCCTGTGTGTGGTATGTGTATGTTATGTGGGCCTGTGTGAACCATGTCTGCGTACACTGTGTCTGTGCATGTGTACAAGTATGTACTGCATACATGTATAGACCTGTGCACAGGTGGATTCTGTAGTGCGACCCCAGGAGTGAACTGCAGGGCACTTCACATTTTGACATTTTGGGGACCAGCTTGTGTCCCAGGGAAATGAAGGATCCTCCAACACTTGCTCCCAGAACCCCTGGGCCACCTTCGCAAAGACCTGCTGCTACTCTAGCAGAAAATGCCTCAAAATTCTTAGCCTTTTAATATTTCATGCATTATTTGAATTCTCCAAAATAAACTTGCTTAGTCATAAAACTATAATTGAGAGTCACTGCACACATGAACTGACGGTGGGAAAACCACCTGAACCTCAGCCTCAGGGGCCCCATGAGGCAGGGCTCTAAGCCTCAGGGTGGGGCAGGGGCGGAGATGCGGACAGGACAGGGTCTAGGGAGGGGGCAGCCACTCCCAGAGGTAGCCAGGCCCAGTCTCTCTGGTAGCCCCCAGTATTCGGTGCTTAGGGAACATGGCACACGGGCACTTCACCACGGGCTTTTAGGAGATTATTTCTCTAATAACAAAAGCAAGGAAAGTGTCCTGAATAATTCCGTTTTCACTGGAAGTTCCCGACAGCCAGAAAGAGAAAACGTGCCCCACTTCCCAGACTGTCTCCACAGCCCTAGCAGCTGCTCGGGCCACCGGTCAGCAGAGACAACTGAGTTAGGGTCACTGAAGAAGCAGGAACACAAGAGGGCTGTGGGTAGTGAGAATTTACTAGTACGTGTGCCTGCGGGGGCTTCATCGCGGCACGGCCCACCTGCGTGGACTCATCACAGTAGACTGCCAAGTGTGAGAAACGAACGCCTGAGCTCTGACAACTGTTGAGGGAAAGGATACATTCCAGGGCCCAGCAGTCACCCATTCCACGTCCCGGTAAAGCACCTGGTGAGCTAGGCTCTGGTGGTCAGAGCCCTGGAGGGACGGGTGCTCTGGGCTATTGACATGGAGTTGATCACCGCTGCCCTGACCGAGTGGCTTGCACAGCCTGGACCGGGGGTGGGGGAAGAAGGGGAAGCAGGACCACAATGCTCCTCCCAGGGCTTCGGCTCTCAAGCAAGGCTGGTGCCACCTGGTCTATTTCTGAGTGGGCAGAACCGTTCATACCCGGCCCATCCAGGACATGCCGGCAGGAGACCCCACTCCCTACCTGTGCAGGCACATGAGGTGTCTCCTTATAGGCCAGGCAGCGTGGCCAGGGCAGCACATAGCCGCTCTCTCCTCTCTGCTCACACTATGTAACCTGCGGAGCCACCAGAGGAATCCTGCCCTAGAGTGAGTCCCAGCTCCTCAGAGCCAGCTCCCAACCCTCCAACCAGGGGGCTCTATGGGATGGAGGCCTGAGCCCACGCCAGCCCTGTGCACCCATCCCAATGGGCAAAACCAGAACTGGACGAAGGCCACTCCTGCTGACCCCAATGCCTTGTCAGGCCCGGGTGGGCAACGTCTTGTAGGGGTTCAGGATGCCCTTAGGGTCCAGGAGGGTCTTGAGCTGCTGCATGAGCCGCAGGGCTTCAGGCGGCTTGCTGTAACCAAGGACGCTCTGCTTCTTGAAGCCGACACCGTGCTCTGCGCTGACGCTGCCCCGCTGCCCCGCTGTCCACTCGTACACGTAGGGCTCCAGGTCACCTAGCAGCGACGGGCTGAAGGCTTCTGCTGTTACATTGAGGTGCAGGTTGCCATCCCCTGGAGGGACAGGGAACCATGGGTCAGGCTGGGCAGGGCCCCCAAGAGCCCTGTCCTCTCCACCTCTTAAGCCCCCTCCCAGAGAGCCCCTTCCCGCCCTCTGTCTGGTTCCAGCCCTCCACCAGCCACTGACCTGCAGTGACAGAAGCAGCCTCTTCAGGGGGCCCCAGCTCCCTTGGCTTTTGCTCACTTCTCTCACCAGTTCTCCCCGACCTGCTCCTCCCTCCATCAGCTCAACATCTTCAAGGGCTCCCAACGGAGAGCCCTGGAATCTGATCACACTGATGGTTGTCACCGGACTCACGTCTCTAACAACGCCCAGTATGACCCCATCCCCACCAGACACCTCCACGGACACCATGGGGGCCTCCCCCACCCCCAGGTGCCCCCTCTGAGGCTGCTCAGCCAACACCCACCACAAACAAAGTCCTGGATCCCCACCTGCCTCCTCTCAGGTCCACCTGGCCCCCTGTTGCTCTCAATGAGACCCCCTGGGCCCTGGCTTTCCAGAACTGTCCGAACACATGCTGACGCTGGCCCTCGGGATAGCCGGGCTCGCCGCCCACATGCACCCT